ATTTTAATACAGGCTCAAGATAAACTTATGTATTACCACTTTTTATTATGTTTTGTAAGCGCACTGAATGAGTATGAATGAGCGCGAGATTTTATTATATTCGTTCGATAATAGTCGAATTATGTGTTACGTACGCGAAAAGCGAATAAATATGCGTTAAGATAAAGATTAGTCACAATTTATAAAAGATATACTTACCTGCGACGATAAATACCACAATTCCGCAGCGAGCCACTTACGGGTACCTAAAACATGCAGAAAAAGCATTTAAAATCAGTTTGAGTCACAATTTCACGAGTTAAATGCTCACCTTATAAGTTTTGCTAAAATATAGCCGACGGGTTACTTGAAAATAAGAAATTAATGTTAGTTAGTCACAAAAAGTGCATTATTAGATGATATGAGTTTTATTCGATTCATTTTACCACTTTTATTTTAGTGAGAGATACATTGATTAAGCATTAGATAAGATTCTACCACATTTCACGCGAAGACAGATAATCAGTATCAATTTCAGTGGTTTCTACCACAATTTGTCACAATATATTTTATTAACATTAGTTTTAGTTTATTTAACAAGAATGTGCCACATTTAGTCACAATTCCGCGTGTTAAGATACATTGTAAAAGTTTCTCTCACAATCCGCCACAATTCATCACCCAGGAGGTCGTGACGGCGCTCCGGGGATAATACGCGGTCTCTCGAAGAATAATCACCACATTTCGATGGTAAACTCCGAGTCGGTATAGTGAAGCCACTCGGGAGGTAACTAGGGGACATACGATCCTTTGATACTCGAGAGCCCGTGTGAAGAACGTCGGGACTTCGAGTCGTTCGCTCTACTGAGCGAGTAACGCCGAGCGCGCAAAGTCAGACGCGACGTCATCGCGTCGCGCGGAGTGATATCCGCACCGAAAGAAGGGCGGATCCCGCGATTTAATTGAAGATTTATTTGATTGGCCGATGAAATACGGCCATGTTCTCTCTTTCCGAGGGAGGAGCGTTACTACCCGGGCACGTCCGAGAGTTTCGCGCCTCACTCGTGGTCATTTGTCTCCCGGACGAGATACCGTCGAGACGAAGTCCCAGCCGCGCGTTAATTCCGCCGTCGTTAAATAAGTATATTGGTCATTTGTCTTTCGACTCTCCGATGAGTCTGACGAAGTCCCGGCCGCGTGATGAAACCGCCGTCGTTAATTTGATAAGTACGCGATACGCGATAAAGCGACGCGATTAATTCCGCTTAAACGCGAAGATCGTTCAAGGTGTTAATTAAACGAGTCGAGTTCACCAAAATCTGGTAAATCTCGTTATTTCCGACAGCCGTAAAAGCATAAATTGCAGAGCGTCGGGGTTAAATTATCCGGAAAGCGAATTTTCTTTTATCGCGAGCGATTTCGT